AGGAAGAAGCACGGCGGCTGGGGGGGGTTGGTTTGATAACACCTCACCCGTTTGTTTCCAGCGCCCTTCGCCCCAGGCCTACGCCATGAGCCCTGGGCTCGCCCTTCCAGCAGCCCTGTCGGGAGCTGGTCCCTTCTTTCTGCTGTGCAGGGAGAAGGTGCGCGCTACGCCTGCCCATCTGGTGATGAAACCGATGGCAACTGCCTAGTAATACCCTCGGGTATAAGAGATGAGGTTATCTGGCTTCCCAGGAAAAGCGTCAAAGCAAAATCCCAGGAAGTCTTTTTTATCCCCTAAAACGACCCACCGTAAGTTCATTTATGACCCAGGTCATGCAGTAACAAAGATACCTTACTATATTGTACTTAATATATTGTTAAGAGTTCTCTCGTTATCTCAACATTAACAGCATCATTAGCACCCTCAAAACTGATATTTGGAAGCACTTAAGGACACTAAATTAGCATCAGGCACAATCCAGCAGAATTTGGTAGCAGACTTCAGTGATTCGGATATTTTAGTATTACTTAACACACATTGCAAATAGACTGATGCAAAAAGTTTTGGCTCATCACTACAAAACAACCACTTTGATCTCTTTCATACAGACCCCTGATAAGTTATCTGAAAAGCAAAACAAGATGCTACTTTAGTTCTGTGACGCTACCCAAGTTATCTTTCTAGCACAGACCTAATGCTTTCCTTGAGTACAACGAAGTCGAGAAGCATTTGGGAACATCTGTTTACACACTGCTTCACGTCTCCTTTGCCTCCCTCCCCTCTTCTTTTCTGAGAGATTTTTTTGGACACTTCTTCCACAGCTGGGTGCCTGAACTGGGTGCTCCCAAGTCCTTTGAGATTTGCTCTTTTGAAATCCAGGTCCATGTTTCAGACCTAGCCTTGTGCAGCCTTCTATTTATTTTCAGTAGAATTTATTCAAACCACAGTTATGCAGTTCATAGGAGTCCAAAGAACATTTAACAAAGCTAAAATGCAAATAAAGTTTAGATGAAAGTAATGAAAACCAGGTTAACTCAAAAATAACATACCACTGAACTTAACTACTACATACTCTGACCACAATTTAAATGACAGCTTCAGAAATCTGTTGCTTTAGTACAGACTAAATTTAGTATCACAGTAAACTTTAATATTTCAATATCTTAAAACACAAATAAAAGCATGCATTTGTACAGAAATGGATTTACAGAGCAAAGTTATCAGAAAGATTAAACTGCAGCATAAAGTCACTGTATCTTCAGCAGAAGTCATCGGGCATCAAAAACCACCACTGGTATAGGCCAGTTAAAGAAAAAAAGATCAGGGGGAGGGGGCACGAAAGGGAGATGGCCTAAATCTAAAGTCACAACTAACTACATAAAAGCATTTCAAAACTCCTCTTTAATTAACCCCACCAGACTTTCCTTTTGTTAAAAGGCTCACTAATATCAACTGTTCACAGTATGTCACCCAGCAGACTATCACAGCTTATTATATTTTGCACAGAAAATGGAAAAAAGAGAGAAAGTGCCAGGAAAAAACACAAGATTCCCAGTCACACTGCAGAGATTTCCCTGTAGTGCTTTGTGTTGCTGTATTGATTTTTGGCCTTGAAGGATTCTCACACAATTACTCAAATCTTCCATTCGGTTTCCCTTATATACCTTGTCTCCATCCGCAGCTTCCCAAATGCATTCAAATGCCTGTGGAAAAGGATACATCTTTTTGTCCTTTTCTTGTACATTATTCTGTAGCCACATTCTCTGCATCTGATAGGATCTCTCGCCTTTATTTCGTTTTCTGTATGACATTCTGATGTGATGGAGGAAGAGAAAGGGAGCGGATAAACAAAAACAGCACTGTTAATGCATAGGTAACTTTTAAAAGTCGTAATAGTCAAGTTCTTATTTAAGGCAAACAAAGGATAATAAAAAATAATTGTAGCGAACTTTTATCAAGAGCTGAATGATATCAAGATACTATGCAAAAAAAAAAAAAGCAAACTTCACTTATATTAAGAAGAGGATCTTGCTAAAAATCACCAAATTATTACTGCACAGACTACATTCCACTCTTGATACAATTAAGACTGTCTACTAATGAAAACATAAGCTCAGCCCTCCAAAGCTCCAAGTTTATTTTCTTAACACAAAATATTTGAGATTCCTGAAATGATGACTCAAACTCACTGATTTTTACGTTGTTGACTTATCTACAGGTAGGAGAGAATTTGACTACTGCACTTCAGTAAAGGCTGAGTGACTATACAGCATTTTCCAAAAAACCTCCCTGAGATGCACTAAGTAGGAGGTCCATTATCTGCACCACAAGCAGACACTTAGAGAAAGCGTCCTCTGGAGACGGAGGACCTCCACACAGCAACACAAGCCCCAGTGAACTACATCCACATTGCTATCCGTATATACAACGTATATGTGGTACCATCAGTGTGTAAAGCTTTAAAGAACGTCAGGATCCACACTGCAACTATTTGCATTTACGTACTCTTCAGTATAATGATTATGCATTCTTCATTATTAAAACACCAAATCTCCAGTGACAAGTAAAAAAATCCACTGATATATTTTCTTTACCTCCACAAATGTAAATCATTGGCTGCTGCTTTGGAGGCTGAACATCCTTCTGTGAATCCATGTTCTAAACAAAAAACACACAACACGCACACCAGTTTGTGTTATTTTTTCCAAGGCACACATAACCATTTCAATATCTCAGTCTAAAGCTAACAGAAGATTAAAAACTTGAAAATGTGAATACAAACAAATTATATCTATATTTGATACACAGAACATTGGGTAGTTCCAGTTGGAAGAAACTTCAGAAAGTCATCCAGTACAACTTCTCAAATGCAGAGTAACATCAGGTTTCTCAGGGCTTTACCAATCTAGTATACAAAACTTCCAAAGATAGAGATGACACAACATTTTCTGTTACATGGGACTTTAAATATTAAAGCTCAATGAGTAATTCTTTCCTCCCTCCTGTCAATGGTAAGACATTCCTTGCTGGAAACGCAAAAATAAACAATTTCTTACGTATCACTCGTGCAACAACAGTGCTATCATAAACAAGTTAAGCCTTGTTACATTTTCCCCTCCTCTGGTACAACACTAGCTAACCTAATCTACCTCTTCATTGATCTAAGGGATTAGAAATCCTAGGCACAGAATGCAGGTAGAAGAGTAACAGGAATTAGAAACAAAGACAAACAAAACAAGAAGGGGTAAAACAGAAGACATTCCAACCTCAAAATCCTAACTGATCAAGAGTTTGATAACTCAGTAGTAATCTTCAGACACCTCGTAATGCCCTGTAATGGTTTTGATTGTCCCGACTTATTCGGAGACAAGTGTTCCTTCAAGGTATCAGATTAAATAGTTACATACACTCCACGAACATTCCACCAAGTAATGTTATCCCAAAATGTACATATGGTTGCAACCATAAATTTTAAGGTTGTTGCTGTAGCACTAGAGATAGTAAACATCCTTCTTCCATCCAGTGCAAGTCTAGACTAGAATGTATCTCCTTGTAGTGTTTTTTGAAGTTGCTGTTTTCCATGTCACTGTTCTGCCTAACATAGAAGACAAGAATTACTAACCCTTATGCCAGTGAATAGCCTTCATGATGCTCCTTTATAAGCATGACTCTTGGATGCTTTTGCTTACATATTACAGTAAGGATTATTTCCCTGATCATCACAGTTTGTTTCAGTATAAATTCAACCGGGAAGACTCTAGGGTCTTGAAAAGGATAGGCTTGACAGAGACAGTTCATCCTTTTTTTAAAAAGAGTCTGATCAGCCCTTGACAAACCACCTTGTCAAAACCCCTGTTATGCCACTCCATTTGAGAGAACTGGAGATAATTCATTAAACCCTACTGCTTTAAAGTAAGGTTTTGCTCTACCATAGCCACAGCGGCACCTTAATCCACATGCTATAGTCTGCGCCAGTACATCACAGTAAGACATAAGCAGTCATCCATTAGCACTTGAAAACAGCAGCATCTTCTAAAACAGAGACCTGAAGCGAGGAGGACCGCAGTTACAGCTAAATAACATGAGCTGGTGCTGCAAGAGAGGCAAACCCGCTCCCTCACGCCCCGCTCGGAGCCCACGAAGGAGGACGGGCCGCCTTCCCGACGGGCCGCCTTCCCCACAGGCCGCCGGCCCCTCGGCCCCGGACACCCCAATTCCGCACCGAGGCCCCCTCCCCCGCCGCCCCCCGGGCCTTTT